GTCATGGGTGGGACCAATGAGATCCTACGTTCCTTACTGTATGTACTCTCACTGTCATTTGGTCATTTTTCTCACAGCATCTCTTCCTCCTTTCTTTTACTTTTAGCTCCCCCTCCTCGATGCCTCCTTCTGCACCGTGAACTCTCTATCCCAGAATCCTTTGTACTAAATCCTTTGTGTGTACCAACGATCCCTGCCCCTCAGAGTTGAGACCAGGGGAGAAGCAGCAAAGCCTTGGTTCCATATACGTGAAAGTTTTCATGGGACATCTACTTTGAAACCCTTCCTTCAGAACTAAATCAAGGTCGAAGAGAGAAAAGGCAAAAGACACAGACAGAAATAGAAAAAAATTGTCATATCAGGATGGAAGATTTCCCTAAAAAGTTATTATCTAGTTCCTTTCAGGCACCAGATGCCATTTTAAGAGCTTTAAAATGTCGATGCATTTAATTGTCACAGCAGCACTATGTGGTGGGTACTGTTATAATTTTATAGAGAGGGGAATACAAATAGTTTAAGTAATTTGATCAAGGTCACACAGCCAATGAGACAGAGCCAAGATCTATTTCAAATTCAGAATCTCAATTCTCCCTTTGCCACCAAGTCTTTTCATTTGAGGACCATTGTGTTATAGGCATAAAAAAATCAGTTATTGAGGAATAGGAGACAGAATCTTAGTGGTGCCTATGAATCTTAAATGGTACACTGAAAAATGAAGACCCATATTAATGTTGTTTCATCAAGTTACAATACTTCATTTATTTCAAATTTCTTAGGTAGAAGGACCTGTGCACATTTATTTCCCAATTTCTGCTGAGCAGTCAGTTCCTGAACGGGGTAAATCGATAACCTAAACTTATTTCCAACTTATGAGATGAATATTTAAGCACTACTGGGTATTTCTGGTCATAATGTTTTCAAAGATATTGGCTCCATCCGCCTCAAAACTCTAGTGACTATAGCCACCTGTACCGGTTGGTGCTATACACAATGCCTCTTTGGTATTCTGAAGAACAGCCATTGAAGAGGTTAACAGACAGTCTACTTCCTTTTCCCTTCTCTTGTCCTTCCAATTTTTTACCCATTGATAGTTCAGCCATCACAATTGGCACTGGTCAAGTCACAAGAGCTGAAGTTGCTTCAAGTTGCAGGTGCTACCTAAATCTTGGGCTGTTTCCAGCTTCTAAGCCTAGCTGCTGCACCCAGTGTCATGACTGGAAACCAGAGCCCAAAGAGATGTCTTTTCAGGAGCAAGAATCTAGAGAACGAATTGTCTGAAACCTTGGCAGTGTAGAGAAGGCACCTCCCTGGGGACAGCTAGCTTTTGTAGTCTTTTTCTTCCCTCCTGCTTCATTCTTCCCCAGAAATTAGGTATCCCTCTCTACACTTGGAACTAAAACTTGCTTCAAATTATAGAACTCTGCTATCTGCCAGTGTGAGATGTGCAGGAGTTCTTAGCAAAACTATGTTGATAATGGGGATAAGCAACTTTCATTGGGTCTCTGTGTGAGTGTACATGACAAGCATTTACTGAATAACCCTGGAATTGGCACCACCTACATACGAGTTTTACATGTGCTTCATAAACTCACAGTTGTGGAGGGATAATATCATCTCTATTGACCAGGTGATGAAATTGAATCTGAGTATGACTTGCCCCAGGTCCTCCAAACAAGAGGTGACAGAGTGTGACATGAATAACAGGGTATAAGAGTGATTCTGAGAGTTGGACTGAGAACCCACAGCATGACTGCATCTACTCAATGCCTAATAGAAATAAAAATCTTAAGGGAATAGTTCTTTTTAAGATTTGACTAACTTTCAAGACTCTTTTCTTCCTTCCTCTTTTTATTTCTTTCCTCCTTTCCTCCCTCCCCCTCATTTCTTCATGCCTAAAATCATTCCATCATCTTTAGCACAGATTCCACATGCAAGCACCAGGCTGTGTTGTAGGCATACAAAGAGGAATGAAACCTAAGTGAGGCTGAACAAAGCTTGACGGGTGGGCGAGGAAGCCATCTTTGAACACAGGTTTCCTTTAGGAAGCCCAGGTGGTGCTGCTAGGACCCACTGCAGTACCCGCTCACCTTCCATCTGAGCAAAGGCTCTGGTACCCAAGAAACTACTGTCTTAAAGTGAATGGAAGAAGCACCACTCAACTATGTTCATGTGAGTTCTGTTTTCTTCCAAGGATTAGTTTCGTTGTTGTTTGTTTTGTTTTTTAATAAATAAGAAACCAAGTCTTCATACCGCAAGCTGACTAGCTAAGTGATTCTGATTTCTCTTTTCTTCAGCTACTTTATTTTAATAAGTAGGGAGGGAGGGAACAGGGGAGGAGGACCCGTAATTGACCCTGCTTATCTTACACAAATGAACAAAATTATAATGTAGGCAGAAGATAGTGGATGTTGTGAAAATGAGCATCTTTAACATGGAACTGCCGGCTCTGAGAAATGCCTTGTTACCCTTCTCACCTGTTTCACGTGGGTACCTATAGGTACTCCTGAGTTCCAGCCATCACCATGGCGCAGCTACGCCTTGAAGGTGCCCTGAACTCATCTGCCTCACTGCCCAGAATGGTCTCTCCCCATCACTGTCTGTTGACCTGACATCAAACACCATCTCCTTTATTCTAACATAGCATTTCCTCTTTTGTACTGTTAAATGTCTTATAGCTCTCACAAAAACACCACATTCAGCACTGGGCTTGTCATCCATATCTTAGGATTTTCTACTTAGAGATGGTTTCCATGTACCAGTTGACATTTGTCGAAGTTGATTTCGTTTCCACTCTGTGTGCTTCTCCACCTGTCTCCAGCACCCTGTATGTAATGTGTCACCCAGCATGTAGCAGGCACCCAGTGATTATATTATGGGAGGATTTATGACCAACAGATTCAGTGGACTACCTCCCTGGACCTTTCTTGTCTAATAAGACAAACATCACGGAGAAGCACATGGAGTTGAGCAATCATAGGCTCTATCATAATTGATGGACAGAAATAGAACACGTCCTAAAGAGCATACTTTAAAATCAGTGGGGCCAGCAAGATGAGCTGAGGTCACACAAGGAACTCTTTGTTAATGTACACCTTCTCACATACATTATAAAAATATATTTAGCATATCAAACTTAAATTTTTATACATATTTTCTAATGAAAGCTTTTATACCTGAATAAAAGTGAAATCGGCTTGAGGAAAAGCAGTTCATAAATAATGGTGTAAGGTGTCACCAGCTGTCACTGTGGATACCAGGAGTACCCAGAAATAACATTTCCACGGAGATGGAGGTGGGATGAAGAGGCACCACCTCCAAGGGTCAGATCCACTGGTACAGCCTCCAGAACCTTAGAGTTATTTACAAAGCTCCATTATTGTAAATATTAATGAATTAAAAATGCTTTTACTTAAAAGAAAGGAGAGGATTCTCCCTTTCATGTCTCTTCACTAAAATGGAGAATTGTGCCCGTGTATGTCAAGGTGAACTCAGGCTTCCCAGCTCCAGCTCTACACTTCCATCAGCCCTGGGATTTAACACATTCCCAGGGCTTGGCAACTACAAAGACTCAAAGGTGTGTTTGCGACTGACTTTCCTGAAAGCCTAGCACCCCGCAGCAGGAGGAGGGCCTCAGTGGCCACCTCCCTCACATCTACATCAGGGCTCCCTTACCACCATTCATGTTCCTTCTCCAATTAAGAGATCAAAGTAGAAGTGTTCAGCCTGCATGGGGGGTTTAAAGGCATACATAGAAACCCAAAGAACATTTAGAAGTACCGCCTCTCCTACATTCTTCCTGAGGAGAGGCTGGGAACCACTACTCCTTCCATCAACGACCTAGTATCTAGGGGCAGAGAGCCAGGGCAGAGGCAGCAGGCTCTAACCACCCAGGCATGAAGACTCAGTTACGTTCTGTATAATCCTGTATAATCTCAGTCAGCATGTCTGGTGTGCTGTTTTTTTTTCTTCACGCAGCTACGAAGTCCTTTCCAGAATTCACTGCCAAATCCTTAAATTTTTTTCCTGACTAATTTTAAGGACTCTATGTTAAAAATAAAACTATAAAAATTTTTCTAAAGTCTAACTTTGTTAGTCTCCCTAAACCAAGTCAGCTCATTTCAATGCTACACTATGAGGAGTTCATAGTCCCTAATATGGTACACAGCTTGTCCTTCTCATTAGCACTCTGGGATCTGAAGGCTCCATTAAATAAATCAAATACAGCATCCTCAGAATATCTGTGTAAGCCAAGCCTGATGGTTCACTCCTACAGTCCCATTTGAGAGGCAGATACAGGAAGATTTCTGTAAGTTGGGGCCAGACGAGGCTCAAAAGAAAGAAATTAAACAAGCAGACTGCCTGTTGGTGGCTTGCATTTCTCTGGAGGGGATGTGGAATCTGTCTATTGGCACAAGAACAAGACATGAGAAATGACCTTGGGTGGCTGCTGCTATTTATTTCTGTGGAAGGGTGGGGCTTTGCCTGTTTGGGGAGTCAATGCTACAGGGTTCTGCATACCTCCAGGGCTCTTTTTCCACAGGGTTGCACTGGAGAGAGAAATGCTTTGTGGCTTATGACAAGATCATGGCAGGATATTTTGTGCATGCCGTGATTTGTATCGCCCATTTGTGCACAGGCCATAAAAGTGCACTTTTTATCAGGAACATTTGTGAATATATAACAGCACTGAAGACATATGGCCACTAAATAATTCACAGTTATCTATCTTCTCAGCAGATTCCATGTACACCTACCATGTTTTAATGCCTAGTTTGTTCAGAAACAATATTCTTTACGACTCTCCCAGTATAACAATGTTTACTGACTGGCAGAGGTATATGGACACCATGGGAATGGCCTGGAAGACAAGGAACTTCTCTACCTTCTCTCCCCATCAGTTCCTCTCACCAGTACCCAGGCTCACTGGAAAGTGTGCCTCTCCCAGAAGGTAGTGTGCAAGTCCGACTGCCACTCACTAAGCTACTCTCTTCTCTTTTCAGCTCTATATCCATCTACAGTCCCAAGGAGAATCCCAATGCGTTTGACACTGCAGCGTTCTTCCAGTCCGTGGGGAATTTCCTAGGGATCTTCGCTGGCTCCTTTGCAATGGGCTCTGCATACGCAGTTGTCACAGCACTGATATCCTTTGTCCTTGTGTGGAAGGTGGGGACATTTCAGAGCAGTCACTGTGCATGAACTGTTTGTAAGGCTGAATGACCTCCGCAGCAATTATCCTAACTGTGGAGCTGAATAATCTTGAACAATTAAAGCTAAACAATTTGATGGTGGCCATAGAGCTAGGGTGCTCTGGGGCTGAGATTCAAAACCAGACTTTTCACCCTGCCAGCACAGACAAGGTGGGAAAGGTGAAATCAGACCTCCCTCAGGCTGGTGTGAGCAGTATGTGTGGACACAGAAGTGAGTGCGCTGATGAGGAAAGGGAATGTCCTGGAGGCTGAAAATCTGCCAGAGGTCAGGTCACATCTGGAAGAAAGGGCATAGAGGGGACCAGACAGAGGACAATGGAAAGCACTCCACTACAGTACTGGGTCAATTGTGTGGCACCTGGTGGCTTTAACGGGCTCTACAGACAGGCTATAGAGACGTAGCTGTCTGTCCGTCCCTATCCTGGATATCGTGTCCACACTAAGGTAGTCTCCTAAGGTCAGGTCCTCAGGCTCTAGACTTGGACTTCAATTCAGACCTAATGACTTCCCGGAGAAGGAAGAAGGAAAAGCCCTTCTATAGCTCACTTAGATACATAACCAAACAAGTGGAAGGCTTCCCTTTAAAACAACCCAGAAAGGGTTAGGAGAGCAGACCTGATGAGAAACAAAGTCTTCCTCCTAAGTAACGAAGGGGGATGTTGGGAAGGACCTCAGGTAAGCCCGTGCTTTACCCCACACATGCAGATCTTTCAGGAAGGATGTTTTACCAAAAGAACTTAACCTGAACCACCAACAGAAAAGTGTACATAGCCCTCATTGCATGCCAGTGCTGTTCTGAGTACGTCATTGAGTACAGGGACAATGACCAGATAATGCCATCATCCCATGTTCCCTCAGAGACTCAGAGGCACTAAGTGCTTTCGATGTATGACTGAGTGGAGAGTGCATTTTGAATCCTGCCATTCTGACTCTTGGCATTCTGGCTTTTTTTTTTTTTGCTTTGTATTTTTTTATTATTTTAATTTTAAATAGCTTGTTTTACATGCCAATCCCAGTTCCCTCTCCCTCCTCTCCTCCTGCAACCCCCACCATCCTCCCCAGCCTCCCACCCTATCCCCACTTCCTTCCACATAGGGGATATCTAGTGTCTATCATTTCACTCAGGGTAGGGTCCAGGCACTCCCCTAAGAGTCCAGGCTGAGAGAGCATCCCTCTTTGTGTTATGGACACATGATGTCTGTTTGTATTCCAGGGATAAACACTGATCCACTGCCCAGAGCCCCATAGCTTGCCCAGGCCTCCTCACAGACTCTCACACTCAGGGGTTCTGACTCAGTCCCATGCTGGCCTCTCAGCTGTCAGTCTGGGGTCCAAGAGCTCTCCCTTGTTCAGATCAGCTGTCTCTGCTGGTTTTGCCAGCCCATTCTTTGCCAATTTGCTCATCGCTCCTCTCTCTCTGTCACTGGATTCCTTGGGTTCAGTTCAGTGTTTAACTGTGGGTGTTTGCCTCTGCTTCCATCAGTCACTGGATGAAGGTTCCCGGATGGTTATAGATATCAAGTTCATTATCAGGAATGGGCATTCGAGGTGGTCTCTCCACTATTGCTTAGCTTGCCAGTTGGTGTCATCCCTTTAGATCACTAGAGGTCACACTGGTGTCTGATCTGTCTTCTAACCTATGACTTTCTAAAACTTAACAAATCACTTTACACACACATACCTCATTTCACTCTCCAAACTTGGGAGCGGATGTATTACTCTTTCTGCCAAGTCACATAGAACAGAGGTGGGGACCAGTAATACACTGCTCAGAAGCCACACACCCAGTGACTGGACAAGCCAAGGACTGAACACAAATATTCCATCCTAGAGGTCAAAGGTCAGGCTTTTCCCTCCATAACATGCACTGTCCATCTTTTAATGTTGAATGGGTTTCATGTTTTCTTCTAAAATCATTAGATTGCAAGTCAATCACATCTTGTCCAGGGCATTTGTGCCTAACAAACATGATAGCAATGTAACACTTTCCCATCATCAGAGGTCCCTAACCATCTCCCCATAACCCATTATTTATTTGCCCAGCTTGGGTCACCACCCTTTATTTTCCTTCTAATTTATACTTCACAGATTATTGTCCAAGTATTACCTTTGGCAAAATGAAACATTGCTTGCCAAAAGGTGTTTGACTTAGAAATAACACTAATTCTCCTGCATGCATTAATACCAAGAAGGCTTGAGCAGATCCCTTTTCATTGTGAATAACTTCATCTCTTGCCCTGTTTCTACCCCTAGGGTAGGGGGTTCAACAGGGAAGCCTGCTTCAGGCTGCATCCTAGGGACCAGCACCACCACTTCTTCTGAGGGACACTTATGATTCCAAGGCATGTTCCTTTGCTTGGCATTCTTCTATCTGCCAGTGTTTCTGGGGTGATACTCCAAGGGTCAAATCATACTACGGAGATTTCATACCCATAGCCTACTGGGTTTAATATATACATATAATATATAATATATATGTATAATATAATGCATATAATAAATATACACATATATATGTATTTAAATCTGAGCACTGGTTTGAATTTTTATGGGTGTGTTGAACCTGCAGTGAAGCATGGAACCCATGCTGCTCTTCTTAGGGCCTTCATGCTAGACCAACTCAGATGTGAAAACTTAGCCTTTTCCTCTGCGACTCTCATCACCAAATTCCTCTTAGCCAACAAGCAGATTTAGTTGTAAAAACAGTTGTTGTTTTCCTTAACACATCTTGTCACTTGACCAAATTTACCAAGCTCTGTGAGTTCCCGATGCTGGAAACAGGCCTGTTTTTCCTCCTTTCTTGGAGTGCCTTCCTGTCTGCAGAGGCCGCTGGCTTAACAGGTCAGTACTTTGTGCTGCCATGTGAGCAAGACCTATGAATGTGGCTTGTTGTATGTGTCTCAGTGTGTGCTCTCCCTGGCTCAGCAGGAGGGGAAATGAAGTCTTGCTTAAATAGTGAATCGAATGGGTTTTACCAGAATCAGTCTCTGCAAGGCTCCCTGGGGAGAAATAATAAAAAAAATAATTCACCCACTTTGTGCAAAATAGTTTAACAGAATGATTTCAAAATGTTCTTTTCTCCTTTTTGGACACGGGCTGTTGAAAGGACTGGCTTACAGTTATGATGAATGACTTTGCAAATGAAAGGCTGTGTGCACTGGGAAGGGATACACACAACCGGCCTTGCTGGGGAGGATGGAGTGGCAGCAGGCTCCATTGTGGGCAGCCTCCCCAGGGTGTGCACATCTCACACACAACAGTGTTCATAATCTTGGCACAGCTGCCTGGCAAGTCAGGTAGCCAAAAGCCAGTGGGTGGCTCTACAGGCTGATGTCCCATATGGCAGAAAGTCTACAGAGTCCTCTGTACAGTTGACCCAGGAAAAGCTGTCTTAAGGTCCCATGAACCCATGGACTCTGTATTCCTCAATCAAATGGCTGTTCTGTCATTGCATGGGCTGCACTAGGGTGGCTATACTAATCGGGTCATTTCCATGTGCAAGAATCACCAAGGCTCTCCAGCCTGACTTCCTTATGCTCTCCAGTTTCAGTCCTGGGCCCATTTTACACACTGCATTTTAACTGACAAGCAGGGGGTACAAATCTCTACTATACTATTACCCATAGTAATACATAGTAATACAGGTATTGTTGTATTGGGGGTATTGTTGTTCTAATGATGAATAACCTAAATAACACTTAAAATGGACACCCATTGAGGATGTTCAGTTTACTATCTGTCCAGATGATCTCATCAATCTACAGAAAAGAGATGCCCAAGTTCACTGTGTGGTGGGTGGTGACACTGAGGTTAAACCTAGAACATTCAAATCCAAACCTTGGGAAGTTCCATTGGCAAATGAATTTCCCTGTGGGAGACAAGGATAGCCTCCAAGAGAGGGTGGTCATTGGGTCCCAGGAGGCTGATTTGTCTGTTTGCTCTTAGGCTCGTCATCTCTGCTCTGTTCTGCCATGCACGTGGTTTTAGTATGATGACCAATTGGTTAACTGGCCTGTCACATTGCAATACCTCATGGGCCCTACATTCCTACAGAGTTCTAGCCAGAAGGTTCTCATGACACTGAAAGTTCTCATGACACTCTAGTCAAGACTGCACACACACACTTAAAACTGGTACATTTCTACGAAGACTTTTGATTTCTGGGTTCCTTTCAACTAGATCTTATTCTAGAAACTACATGCAAGGTCACAGTCTACAGGAAACTCTCTATTTCAGCTCTTCTTACCTCACTCATTTACCTTTCAACCTGATTCCCTTAGTAGACACCAGAAGACTAAGGAGCCAGCCTCACAAAATGGGTAGTTGCAGATATGAGCCTTGGTAGTAGGAAAACCCCAATGTCCGTGGCTGTACCTAGCATCAGGATCTCCTGAGCAGTACTCCAGATTTAGGCAATATGCCTAAGAGGCATTTGATTCAAACCAAGGTAGGTACAAGCATTTCCTATTGCCAAAGACCACGCCTAGGCATTCCAAATCACTTATGGGTTTATTTGTTATTTAATCCTTGCCTATTTCCAAATTGGATTTGTGACAACTCATAATACCAGCCATTCATATCATGGGGCTTCTTAGTTGAGGATAAACGTTCGTGTTCTGAGATAGTTTTTCTGAAAATTAGGCAGCCGTGTGTTGCTATAGTTTGGCAATAAGCATGGCTCTGAACTCTTTGGGAGCCAAAGTCAAAAGAGGACATGTTGAATCGTCCAGGACTAAAACAGCCTTGTCAGATGAAGTCTCATTTATTTATAAAAATGAGCAAAAAAATTTTTGGAGATTTTTGTCAGTTGGGTCATCATGTAGAGAGTTTGAGCACCTGACTGGAAATGTCTTTAATAATAATTTTTGGTGAAGTTTGTGACTTGTTTTTCATATGGCACACTAGCAGTGCAACATGTGGGACCTGTACATGGTACTTATGTGCCATCATTTCCCAGAAAGATTACCTGAGCCAAGACATTGTCTGTAGGTGGATTTTTCTGTCCCTCCTACCAGATCCCAAATCATAGCATGGAGACTTATTGTTAATTGTGAAATCTCAGCTGATAGCTTAGGCTTGTTTTTAACTAGCTCTTAAAACTTAAATTAACCCATTTTTATCAATCTACTTTTGTCTCGAGGATTTATCACCTTTACTGTGTATTGGCATGCTGCTTTTTCTCTACTTGGCTGGTTACTCTGCCCTTCTTCTTCCCAGCATTCTCTCTGCCCCAAAACTCCTGCCTAGTTGTTGACCATTATCTTTTTATTAAACCAATCACAGTGATATATCTTCACACAGTGTAAAGGAATATTCCTCAACATGAATCTTTAAGGACATTGCCTGGAAAGCAGGCCTGTGAACTGTCCATGGCTAGTTCTCTTTTGTAGGTTCTATGAGTTAGATTTTTCACATGTGATTTGGCCTTGAAAACAGGATAAATACATATTGTTACTTTATTTTTTACCTCCATTGAAAGACATTTACTGTATGAAATTTTAGAAAATATACATTCACAGAAGGAAACAAATTAGAAATAGCTTGTATCATTACTTCCTATTTATAACTATTATTAATATTATACTGTGTCCGTTTAATAAAATGTATGCACATATATTTACATTCACATACAACAAATTGAATATGTAGTTAAATATACTCAGGCAGTTAGATATATTTAATCTAAATTTAATTTAGAAAATGAATAAGCAAACTTGCTTTCCTCACTCAATAGTTTATAATAAATGTTTTTGATGATATTCAATACTATGGCGCATAGACTTAACTTCTACCAAACCTTTGATTATTTACAGCTTTAAGTATTAATATTTTGGGGATAATAATCCTTTTATCTAGGTATCCTAGTTGGGGTTTCTATTGCTGGGAAGAGACACCATAACAATGGCAACTCTCATAAAGGAAAATGTTTAATAATGGGGTGGCTTACAGTTTCAGAGGTTCTGTCCCTTACTATCATGGTGGGATATGGTGGCATACAGACAGACATGGTGCTGGAGAAAGAGTTGAGAGTCTTATATCTTACAAGCAACAGGAAATGGTCTGAGGGTCACACTGAGAGAAGCTTGAGCAAAAGAGACCTTAAAGCCCACCCCCAGAGTGTCATACTTCCTTCAACAAGGCCACACCTCCTAATAGTGCTCACTTTGCTCACTCCCTGTGAGCTTGTGGGGTCCAATTACATTCAAACTACCATACTTAGTATATGAATTCTATTTATAGAACTACCTTAAAACAAAATGTCTAGGCTAATATTTTAAGTTTATGGGGAGCTGTTCTAATTGTCGTCTGAAAAAATCAAACCCCCTTGTGCTTCTGCCAGCGTGGGCATTCACTCACATCAACCTGTTAAAAACGCTGAACTAATCATTGAGTTCTGTTTTCTTCTGTACGCTCCTCGTACTGAACAAAAGTGTCCTAATGGCATGCTGTTGTTCATCAGCATCTTTTTTTTTTTTTGGTGGATCACTTGTTAGGCTCTTTGTCCTTTCTTCTCATACAAATCCTTATCATACCACATTTTGGTTTCATTGTTCTTTATCAAGAAAATTTAACTTAACTTTCATTGGTCATATATTCTATGAATATTCTTCAATTTGTACTTGCCCTTTCATTTTATTTAGTGTGTGTGTGTGTGTGTGTGTGTTCCCATGTATGCACATGCTGTTCATGAGTGTGAAGGCCAGAGGTTAACATACATACTTTATTTGGTCATTCTCTACCCTATATATTGAGGCAGGGTCCTTGCTGAAGCCATAACACTAATTTAGCTGGTCTAGCTAGCGAGTGTCCTAGGGGATTCCCTGCTCTACCTCCCAAGTGATGGAATTACAAGTGGGCCATCACACCCAGTTGTCATTTACAGGAGTACTGGGGATCTGACCTTCTTGTGCTTGTTCAGCAAGTTGTTTAGTCATGGAATCTTCTCTCTAGGCACCTGTTTCCTTTTGAAATATGCTATATTTTGTTTACTTCTATCAGGTAATGTAGTCAATATAGACATTTTCAAGTTTTGTATAAGTTTACCCCCTTTCTGCAACACCCACATATTTCTTTAATGATAATATATGCTTTATTGTAGTAGTTCTTTTGTTTTATTTGTGGGGTAGAATAAGGATTTGATTTCCTTCCCAGGTGGTAAACTAATGAATTGTTCTAACAATCCATAGATTTAAATATACCTGTGTAGACATGTATTATATATATGCCCTGGACTTCCTGTACTTAGCATTTGATCTTCACTCTAAATTATTTCAGCTTCATGGTTTATCTTAATATTCAATACATCAGGGCTGGAGGGATGTCTCGGTGGTTAAGAGTACTGACTACTCTTTCAGAGGACATAGGTTTGATTACCCAGTACCTACACGGTGGCTCACAACCATCTGTAACTCCAACTCCAGGGGATCAAACACTCTTCTAGTTTTCATAGGAACTGCAAGCATGTGGTGCACCAACAAACACACATGAAGGCAAAACACTTATACACATAAACTAAAAATAAATAAATCTCAAAACTTCAATATGTGTATACATCTACATAGAGGTATATAGATATAGATATGTAGATATATCTGATAGATCAATAGCCTACATTCAATCCTCAATTTTAAAGGCCCCTATACTATTTATAGTTCTCATATATTTATAATTCTAAGTGACTTGAAAATAACATTGTGTTTCAAACAGAAAATGATTTCAGAATTATGTCTCTCTATTTATCATTTTATGGCCCTCAGTAAATTTTTATGGTTATCTTCATATTAGACTTACAAATTACTTCTTAAGTATCTTTTTAGCTATTTTTGTAGTGTGGGGTTCCA